AGACAGACTCAGTCAACTCAAGGTGAACTGCCAGGAGAAGGGCCCACTCATGATTTGTTTGAAAAAACTGGCCCACACTGAACAACAAACCAAACCCTAGAATATCATCATACAACCAATCTACCTACCTGCAGCTTTGGATGTTTTTGCTCTATCACCCCTCTGCTTTTCCAAGCCATTCAAACCCACCTTCCTTTCATAGCCTAGAATTTATGAAGTCAAAAGAACTTTCACTTGGAGCATTTTTTTACCTCCCTGCTAAGCAGCAAACACAAGAACCACCCAACCCAGTTTTCTAGACAAAAACCCTTCCCCACAAATCACCACCAATGGAAGATGCTGAACCAAGGCCAAGAGCTTGGAGATCCCCCGCGCCCATCGCTGCAGCAGCCACAGGAGGGGAAACCAAGGCACATGACCATGAGATGTGCTGGGCAAGCTGTCTCCTACCCAGCCAAGCTGCCCCAAGGCTGGTCCCCAAGGCTGGTCCCCAGTGCTGTCCTTCTCTACTGAAGTCCCTCCAGCCACTATGACCATTTGTTCCCTGTTAAGGTGCAAACGCAGCTCCCCGAGACATTTGGGGGGGCCCCTTTGGGACCCCCTTGTGAAATCTGTGCTTGTCTCCACTATTACTACTTTACTCTAGAAACTACAAATCACTTCATTTTTTTTTCCCATCTCCATAGAAATATAAAAGATGAAGCCCCCCAAACCCCATAGAATCTAATTACTAAATCTGTGCTTGTCTCCACTATTACTACTTTACTCTAGAAACTAAAAATCACTTCATTTTTTTTTCCCATCTCCATAGAAATATAAAAGATGAAGCCCCCAAACCCCATAGAATCTAATTACTCTACATTACAGTGCCAGGGATCATATCTACGTTCCCACCTCTACTCCTTCCCCAACATCCCTTGGCCTCCTCTGGTCAGGGGAGAGAAATCTCCCAGTGCAGCTGAAGCTTCTCCTGCACTAACTCCCATCATCTAAGGGAACGGGGAAAAGATGGCAAATCAAACATTCTGAGTGTTCACATGATGCCCAAATGCTTCAAAATCCTCCCCACCTCCCTGGAGCTCAGATGTGCAGCACCTTAGAATCCAGAGCCTACCAAGGTTCTCCAGAAAGATTCTGCTCCCCCCCCCTTTTAGCAATGAAATTGGGAACCTGGTAACAGGAGCTTGTGGGCAAACCTCTGCACTGGCAGGACCCTGGACCTTTCCAAGTTAGATCTTCTAGATTCCCAACTGGGGAGAACAGTTACCCTCCTCAGCTCCAAGAAGATCAAGGTTAAAGAGATCTGGGATGATGGAGAGGGTTAAAGGGGGAACACAATGAAAATCACCAGCCATAGACTCAATTTTTGGAGAAAGTAGCTTTTGCCAACATATTTCTGCTGGGATTTCCTCCTGAGTGGATCTCAGGTTGTTTCTAAGTTGCTCATAATGTGCTCAAAGGGCACGAAGAGCCTGGCAAGTGGGTTCCATAAAGCAAGGAGAGGAGCTCAATGCAAGACGAGGAACGGGCTAACAGAGGGAAAGAAAGGGAAACCATCCCTGCAGGTTCTCCACCTGTTGGGTTTCCACACCCGGACAGCTTCAAGAACATCCTTTGCAAAGTGCAAAGAGATCCTCTGAAAAGCACACAGAGACCCTGGCTCCCAAAGCCAAGCTCTGCTGGGCTCCAGCCATGGAGAACTTCCTCCATCCTTGCTCCCAGCTGTGCTGGGAAGGTCCTTCACCATGCAAGAAGGGGATGGCCTGACTTCCTTGCCAGATGAGCTGTCCCACCAGCTCAGGAGGTGCCACACAACTTCTCACCATCCAAAACCTGGGGGACACTGCAGCAACCACCCCATGAGGCACAGACCCTTGGGGTCTGTTCTCCTGTGGGTGGAGCATCACCACAGAAGGCCTGTCCTTGAATTAGAGAGACAGTGCTGGGAGATGTCCTGTCTTTCCAAGGGATCACAGCCCACAGACCCCAAGGTCTGTGGAGATCCATCCTCAACCCAGTACCATTTAAGGAAGCCACCACATATTCTACACCACTTCAACACAATTACTGCAAACGCCTGTATGTCCAAGGGAGAATCATGGGAGAAAATGGGCTACTGCTCCACTGGAGTATGAGGTTATTAGTTGGCTAGCCTGGATAATCTTATTTTTCTCTATAATACAACGGAATTTCCTCTCCTAAAAATATGATGCTTTTCTTTTTTGTTTCCCTTCAGAACATTTTTATGCAAGGAGTGTGTAATTCTTCTACCTGCCATCTGCATGACAACCTGGTTGCCCCTGTTTCTCAAAACATCACCCTCAGCTTCCTAAGAGGAAGGAGGCCCAAAGAGAGCATTACAGAAAATATTTTTAATTAGGAAAAAAAACCCCAACAGCTTGGCAAGGGAATGTGCACTGAGAACATAATGGCAGCAGATCTGCCCAGAATGAAACATTGGACTTGGGTACAAAAGCCCTTGGTGCTCCCAGGGGAGCATCAAGCAGCTGGAGCACCTCTGGGACCATCCCTGAATCCTTGCTGTGTCCCTCTGTGAAGCTCAAGAGCACCAAGACACAGTGGGCTCCTCAGCATCCCCCACAGCTGCACCTTAGGTGGGTTGACCTGTTGCTGAAGGACCACCCGTCAGTACCAAAGCTCAGGGTGGGTGAGGAGGATGGAGAAACAGCAGTTCCAACAGACACCCTTCCTCAGTTAAGGAAAAAATGACATGAAGCTGACCCCAGTCTGAAGAGAATCAGCTGCAGCCTCACTCTGCTGCAGCCAGCCCAGGCTGGTTGAAGAAAGATTCATCCTCCAGACAACCAAGAGGTCTACACAGAACCAAAGTACCAAGTGAGAACACCACCAAATGGGAAAAGCTGGTCAATATCCTCCTGCTTCCACCTTGAGGCTAAATTTTCCTCCACAACTTGATGATTTGGCAAAAAAATCTGATTATTTTCAAAAACTATTTTCTTCCTGCAGATAACCAGGTGATGGTTTTGCCTTCGCATTCAGTTCACCTAAGAGTTTCCTTAGCAATTGCTGTAGCCTCCCATTGGTGGGCCCCATGAAACCCAGAGCCCCAAGGAAAAGCACCACTTGGGAAGTTGAGACGAGCAGGTGGATTTGGGAAGCCCTGTGCTGTGTGCAGCTCCCTGCCCTCACCTCCCTGCTCCTTTCCCATCAAATCCAGTTCAGTTTTCAACCTGCTCCATGATAAACCCTCCCCCCATCTTAGACACCGCCATAAAAAAACAAACAACCCACATCATTTCTCTGCCTGCCAAAACCAGGACAAGCCAGAACCCTTCAGTGAGAAGCTGGGATCTGCTACCCAAAGAACCCAATCAAATATTAAAACTTGGAATGGAAATGACCTGTCCAGGCTCCTTTCACAAGCCATTTTTCTTGCCAGGCTGGGAGGGAGGCGCAGCCGTGCCCTGCCCGCGCTGTGAAGGCTATCAATTCTGAACCTAATCAGATCTGATCTGCCCACAGCCAGGCTGGGGCGTTTTGTCTTGGCTTGTGAAAGCTTCCTGACTTCTGGAGTAAAATATATTTACAGTGCTGAGAAACAGCCTCTTTTTTTTTTTTTTTTTTTTTTCTCTTCAAACGTGCCCCGATCTCCTTCCGATACATCCCTCAAAGGCTTGAGATGGAAACAAGAGTTCACTGCTGGGAACATTGTCAATGTACAATGATCTGTAGCCCACAGATCCTAACTAGTTGCACATTATTTAGTTAATGCACATCCATGACAGTTTATAAATTAACAGAGATGTCGTTTTCTGTACAAAACCGACAACAAAAAAAAATTAAAAATCAATGCATATTTACCTTTTCTTTTTTATTATTCAAATAGATTTTACATCCATATCATCTAGAGACACAATACAAAAATCTGTATAAGTTAGGCAATGCATCACATGAGTGACCAAAAAACTCAACACATTTACCTTGGCAAAAATGACAGACCCTATTTCTGCTGGCTGAAAAAAAACACAACAGTAGCCTTTAACTCGTTTGTTAATTGCGCTTGAACGACCTCGAAATGTTGCTCCTTAGCAGAATTCATGATTCCTTTCTGTGTTTCCTGGTTCCTCTTATTTATTTTTTCCCCATTTTTGTTTTTTTGGGCCGAGGAGGCCGCAGTCAAACGACGCTCAGCAACTCGTTTCCTCTCTTTGGACTGAAAAATTAAACAGATCCTAAATTATGACAGTGAATTTAGAAAGGAGGGCTCCGAGGGCTTGAAAGAACATGTCTGAGATAATATGATGCTTCTAAGAATATTGCAATCACATCCAAGCAATCACTGAAGCGTGCCATGTAACTACCTCCTCAGCTAATATGCTTTTTTCTCCGTGATGACTAATCATGTTCTATTAAACAGCAGTAATGCTGGAAGAACTCAACTATACAAGTGTAATGAAGCCAGTATTCTCCCCGGACAGATTAGCTACAACTGATTTGACACATACCATCATAGGAGCTTCAAACCTGACAAACTCTGTGCTTGCTTCTGATTTATGCCGTCAAAGAAGAGGATGAAATCCGGGGCGTCGCGTTGGGGAGAGGTGAGATGTACTGATGTGCTTCACTGTCAGTCACGGGAAGTCACCAGTGCTCTTCTTTCTTTCTTTCCTTCCTTCCTTCCTTCCTTCTCCTGGTGCTCACCTCTCCCCCCAGCCCTTCCTCCAGGCCCGGGGAGCCCACGGCTGCCCCCGCTCTCCCCCCGTCCCGGTGCCGCGCGCGGCGTGTCCCGCTCAACCTTCCAGAGCTGCCGCTCCAACAACTGCTCCTCTGCAGCCCCTCGGGCTCCTCCTCACCCCCTGGTTCTCTCCAGACGCGCCGTTTCCGGATGGGACGGGGATGTACCGAAGGGAAAAGGGAAAAGGAGAGTTACCAGACTCACAGAGCAGAGCTGTGATGGGGATGGAGGGAAGATGAGGCTGCGGATGTAACTCGGGTCAGCGAACACGCGAGCGAGCTCCTCAGATGATGGTGGGCATCCTGCCGCCGCTGGTGGCGCGGTTGTTGTTCTTCCTGGACAAGTTGGGTGTGGCCATGAGGACGAAGCGCTCGTCGGGGCAGCCGTACTGCAGGAGGACCTCGATGCACTCCTGGCTGGAGGCCTGCCGGGCGTAGGCCAGCGCCGTGTTCCCGTGCGCGTCGCGCGCCATCACGTCCACGCCGTACTGGGGAGGGAAGAGACCCGGGGGTTGGAGCCTCGGGGTGGAGGAAAGGGAGTGGGGACAGGGTGGAATGTAGCTGGGGAGGGGGAGGAGAGGGTAGGAAGGACACCAGACTGACAAGGGGAGCAGCACTGAGTCATAGAATCCCAGGCTGGTTTGGGTTGGAAGGGACTGAAAGATCAGTTCCAACCCCCCTGCACACACAGGGACACCTCCCACCAGCCCAGGTTGCTCCATCCAACCTGCCCTTGGACACTGCCAGGGATGGGGCAGCCACAGTTTCTCTGGGCAACCTGCATAGGTAAAGTTTCTACAGGGAGAGGTTCTTGTATGGGACAAAATGTGCCACGATGGAGCTTCAAATGGGTGCTGGGGAAGTCTTAGGATTAGGAGAGACCTTATCTCCATGTACCAGCACAGAAAGGGTGGATACCAGGAAGGTGGAGACTGCCTTTTGACAAGGGGTCACACGGGAAAGAGAAGGGTTCATGGGTTCAAGTTGCTCCTGGGGAGATTCCAGTTGGACTCCAGAAGAAAACTTTTCCCCGTGGAAACAGTTAGACATTGGAATAGTTTCCCAAGGGGAGTGGTGGATTCCCCTACATTGGACAGTTTTAAGACTCAGCCTGACAGGGGGTAGGGCCATCTCATTTAAACTGTGTTATCATCTAGAAGGGTTGGACCAAATGACCCTTCAGGTCCCTTCCAACCTGGCATTGCTGCCTTCTGAGAGCAGGAACACCGAGACCTGGGGCACCAGCTTTGTAGAACCCGCAAGGTGAAGGCCCTGCTGAGGGATGCATCATCTAGAAGGGTTGGACCAAATGACCCTTGAGGTCCCTTCCAACCTGGGACTGCTAAGGAACTCTCTCTACTGAGAGCAGGAACACTGAGACCTGGGGAACCAGCTTTGTAGAACCCGCAAGGTGAAGGTCCTGCTGAGGGACGTAGCCAACTGAAAGCCAACCCCATCAGCTCCCTCCCACCAAGTACTCACCCAAATCAGGAGCTGCACCAACACCACGTTTCCCTTCCTGCAGGCCAAGTGGAGGGCAGTGCGCCCATCGCCGTCCCCGCAGGTCTCGTTCACCTCCTCCCGAGAGCCGTGGGCCAGGAGCAGGATGACTGTCCTCAGGTCCTCCTCGGCTGTGGCCCTCAGGAGATGCTGGCCCAGAGAAAGCTCCAGGCACTGCAGTGGGGCCAGGAAGAGCTTCTGCTCGTACTTCGCACGTATCCAGCGCTCCTTTTCTTCCCTGGAGAAGACAAAGGAGACAGGTCAGTCCAACCCAACCCTGACTCTGCACCAGCAAGTTCAGATTGGACTATGGTCACCACCAGCAAACAGCAGGTAACCACCATGAAAATCATCCCCCCTTCAAATGATTGGCAAAAATGCCCTTGCAGAGATAGTTCAACCAAATCTTCTCCTTGCAGTGGTGTTTGTGTCACCCACCTCATCATATTATCTGAGATCCCCCTCGGCAGGTGCTGTGCCTGTGGGGTCATCAGACCAGCCAGGAGGGCTTAAAAAAACCCTAGGCTGCCATGAGGGCTGGCAACAAGTTGGGGCAAGAGCTCTCACCATCATGAAGTAGCTGAACATGAGCCAGAGTGTGCCCAGGTGGCCAAGAAGGCACCGACATCCCGGCTTGTATCAGCCCCAGTGTGGCCAGCAGGACCAGGTCAGGGATGCTGGGCACTGGGGAGGGGGCACCTCAAATCCTGGGGTCAGGTCTGGGCCCCTCAGCACAAGAAGGACATGGAGGGGCTGGAGCGTGTCCAGAGAAGGGCAAGGGAGCTGGGGAAGGGGCTGGAGCAGAAGGAGAAGGGGCTGGAGAACTTGTGAGGAGCAGCTGAGGGAGCTGGGGGTGTCCAGCCTGGAGACCAGGAGGTGAGGGGAGACCTGCTGGCTCTGCAGCTGCTGAGAGGAGGTTGGAGCCAGGGGGGTCGGGCTCTGCTCCCCAGGAACAAGGGATGGGACAAGAGGAAATGGCCTCAAGTTGCTCCAGGGGAGGTTGAGATTGGACATTAGGAACAATTCCTTCCCAAAAGAGTTGTCAGGCCCTGGCCAAGGGTAGAGTCCCCATCCCTGGAGGGATTTCCAAGCCCTGTAGATGTGGTGTTGAGGGTCATGGGACAGTGGGGGCCTTGGTAGAGCTGGACTGGGTGATCTGAAAGGTCTTTCCCAACCCATTCTATGACTCTCTGAAGACCAGAGACATTAACAGGCAGCCTGACTCCATATTTAGGTTGTGCTGCAAAAAAGAGGCTTCAGAATGCACCAGGTTTCTGTACCTAAGAGCAGAAGTAACCAAGCACCTGGGCTTGCACTGCAGGCCTTGCTGTTGCCTTCTACAAGTGGAGCAGTTTCCAGTGCAGAAGCTCTATGGATGGTTCCTGTTTGTTTTTCTAAGTTGCAAATGCCAAAACAACCCTTTGAAGCACCATTTCCTCCTGATGTGTCAAAGACCTCTCAAAAGCCTGGCTGCTATCAGGTTACCTGCTGACAAGGACTCCAAACAAGTCCCTCAAGTCTCCATTAACATAATTACCATACAATTGCATGATCTAAGAGATCTAGCCCTAGACAAGGTGTCATTTAGAGGTACCTCAGGTAGTCAGTCCAGCTCATGAAAACCACACACACCACCCAAGCCAGGCAACTTGTCCTGGGGACAGATGTTCTCCTATGGAGTACAAAAGGCCCAGTACTGTTTCTGCCTTCCAGCCGTGTTGACACTTCTGCTGGTTAATCCAGTGTCAGGTTAGCCCTAATCTGTTTTTAAATACTTATGTAAACAGATCCTTCCAGCAGCAAATCTGGATTAGTTTTGCATCATTTTCTGGGACAAGCGGAGTGACCTTGCTTTGACCTGCCTGGATGCTTTCAGGCACAGCTTCCCAAAGCATGAGCTCCTCCACCCTCCCCAAGATTTACCCTCCAAACAGATCCAGGTCTTTTTTTTGGGGGGTTGTTTTTCAGAGATAATGTGTAAACAGAAAATCACCACCAAGTGTGCTTCCTTGAGGTCAAACCTTTGAGTGACTCCTGCAAGCTAAAAAAAAAAAAGACAACCCCAAACATCTGAGGAGCTGCAAACTAACCTTTGCTGGCAGGATCTGATAAGCAGAGCATCCTTTCAGGTGTCCCAGGGGGAGAGGAGGAAGGAAAGGACTTCTGTTACTGCCACATCTGTCATTCCTGGGGTTAGTTGCATTGTTTGAAGGGGAAAAACCTAACCAGAATCAGTGCCATGAGAAGAAGCAACCTCCAGCTCCTGAGCCTTGGGTGCTGTGCTCAACCACCATGGCTTGGAGAGAAGCCCCTTTCTGTTCATCTATGCTCACCTAAAGTTCAGCCTCCACACGTGGATATTTTCCCTCACTTCAGTTTCCCTTTTGAACAAACCCACCTACATTTTCTTGTCCACCGAGGCCACCAAAAGACTCAAATCATTACAGTCAAATTCTGCCTTGGGAGGGACATTCAGAGTTGTGGTGGGAACCCAGCACATGTTATGAACCAAAATGAGGGTTTTTTTTAAAAGCCTCTGATATCTGGGGGCTGACACAGATGTAGAAGGAGATGTAAATGTGTAACTGTACAAACTGAGAAGAAAGACATGTTTCTTGGGTTTTCTGGCCCACACCTCGTGGATAGGCAAAATGCAGAGGGGCTAGTTTGAAATGAGTACCTAGAGAGCCAACATCCAGGGACATCCTCCCTACATCTCCAAGCACAAGTACTGCTTTTTGAAGGGGAAGTCCTGGGGACCTCCCTGGCAGGCAGCTCCATCCCTGAAATCCCCACACCAAGCCATAAACACTAACTGTTCCTCTGATGCTCCAGTTTCACTTCTGGGATCCACAGCTTCTTGGAGGAGTTTTCATCTCCCCCAAGGAAGGCCAGTCCAAGAGCAGAGTTGTCAGCAGTAGATCAGCTCCCCTCCTTGCAGTCCCCTGGAGGACCACTGCTCACATCCCTGTTAGCTAATGAGCTAAAACATGAATTATTGGAGCGGTCAGCAAGAAGCGGGAAGAGGAGGAACAGTGTTTCATTTCAGCCAGCCCTGCCATACCTTTAAATAAATCATCTGCACAAGAGCACTAGGAGATGTGAGGAAGAGCAACTCATCAGGAGAAAGACACCGAACCAATCCCTAAAAATAAAGGAGTGGACATTGAGATGGACATTCAGCAATACTCAAATGAGTGTTTCCCTTGATTCCTTCCCTGGTAACTTCCACTCTGAACAACCCCCTCAGCACTGGAGATTTTCAGTTGTAGCTGTCAAAGCCAAAACAAGACTCTTTGACTTTTAAACTTTAAAACCTGGTGGGGTCCTTCTCTCAGAACCAACTCAAAGCTGAAGGGCAGGGTCCTCAGGACCTCAGATGGTCCTTGCTGACACCTAATGCTGGAGCACATGTCTCACATGACTTCTCTTCAACGATCACACTATTCTTTCAATGCATAAACAGAAAGGAATGAAGAGATTCTGAACTCTTAAACTTAAAAGAAAAGCAGAGTTGTAAGATCAGTCTGGTTTTTGAGCCTCTCATCTGAAGCTGCGCATCCCAACCCAGACTGCTGGTACAAACCTCAAGGGCCAAACACTCAGACTGCAAAATACTCCATGGTATCTCCACACCAAGAGAGGAACGAGCCACTAAGTCTGGGCCAAAACCAACCACCAAGCTCTTTGCTGTTGCAGGAGTCTCCACCACTGGAGTGAACTTGAAGTGGACACGGCGGTGGGAATAATGAAACAAACCTCAGCTGTGGCAGTGATTCTGCACATAGGTGAAGGGTTCTTAGAAACAGATGAAAACTTCAGTTCTCAGTTTATTTTGACCTAATGAGGTGCTTGCTTCTCAAGATAATGTCCAATTATTTAAATGACATTGCCAGCCACATCACCTCATTATTATCTGGAAACATAAATACTGGGCACTGGGATGGGGGGAGGGCTCACTAGGTAGCACGAGGGAACAGGAAAAGCAGATCTGCTCAGAGCAGAGCTTGGCTCCAGGAGCTGCAGTCCCCACTGCTGGGTTTGCACCAGAGATGCTCAGCTAGGACCTTGCAGCTCAGCCCCGTGGAGTGACTTTCCCACCCTGGTGGTTCTACAACCACTAGATCCAAGCAGGGGCCTCGTAGTGCTGGTATCAACTCTCCATCCCACTCCTCCTCACTCCCATTCATCTCTGCCTTCAACTTCCTTTGTCCCTCACACAGACTTGCTGGAGGGGCATGAGCAGCAAACACAAACATGAGGTGCAGGGTGGAAATTAAACCTGTGTCCACACAGGGACTCAGAACTGATAACACAGGCAACAGTGTGTGGATGGAGAGGCTGAGAACTTGCCATCAACATGCCCTTTGCTCTCATCAAAGCCATAACAAGGATCATAAAGACCTTGTGTCACTCCCTTGTCATCTAAAATTACCCACAGTTTGTTAAAAGGCTCAATGAGATTTTGAAAGGTTACATTAAAACCATAATGGACAGGAGGTTTCTACCATGGCAGACATACCAAGCAGGTACTTTAAAGGAATAGTTCATCCTACACACTCCCAACAACACTAATTCAACAAAATTATTGAATTTTTTAATCTTTTCTTGTCTCTTGCTAAAGAAAATAATCCTGTGACCATGCTGTGCTCCTGCCATTTCTGGTTGCTCACTGAAGTACAACCACTTAGTGCAGTAGTAACCTGGCCAGCTCAGTGAGACCACTGCCAGATTTCCCCTCCTGTTGGCCAGCTGACAAGGTTAATGTGTCTCTTCCAAGGAAAGGAAGTCACCTAACCCCCACACCTCCCAAACTCCTGGAGAGCCCCAGAACATCTTGTTAGCTTTGTGGTCCAGCATGGTCATCACCTGAGCAGGCAGTTGTGCCAGGCCTTGTGGTTTAAACAGACCCCTTTGAGATGCCCCTGTGGGCATCTGATAAACCACAAGGCCTGGCACAAGGTTGGAATTGGTGATGCAACCTTGTGATGCATGAAAGAGGAACATCAGGGTGGGGGGACAGGACCGAATCGTTGGGAAAGGTTCATGATGTTTTTAATTGCAACGAAGAACGGGGGAGGAGAAGAAGGGAAGGCGAGAAGAAAGGGGCTAGCAGCAAGGAATTTCCCAAGTGTTTTCCTGCCCCAAGCAAAGCAGGAACTGGGAGGAGAGGCATGGAAGAGGAGCTGGGAACAATATGCTGAGAAAACACAGGGGCTTCCTCTCTCGGCAGGAGAA